ACATAGTGCATTCATATATGGCACATAGTGTATCCATGTATGGCACATAGTGCGTCCATATGACAGTACATCCTTATATGGTATATGATATATCTAAGAGTACATCTACATATAGCATGATAACCATATATAGCACACAATGCATGTGCCCATATATGGTATGATATACCCATATATACATGTAGCGTATGATTTACTCATATATATACATGTATGATAACTCCTTATATATAATATGTTATGCCCATATATGACGCGTAGTGTACCCATATATGGCATATAATACATCCATATGGTATGTGATGTATCGATATGTGGCACATACTAAATCCTTGTATGGTATAAAATGCATTCATATATGGCGTGTAATGTAATATTGCTTAAACGTTTTCAAAAAATTCACATTTACTTTAGTGAGTTTCCAGTCTGATAACAGATTTCCATTACTGGTAAATACAATACAAAGTGTATTCCCACAATGCATTGCACATTTGGATTCAACACGAATCAACTAAAAATAGCATAGATTTCAATTGACAGTGAACATTTTACGCATCAGTGAACTTTCTGGCATCAGCTCAATGGGCAAAATATTATAGCGAAGGTCTCAGCTGGTGAAAGCCAATGCACATAGTCTAATCATGTGCATGCGGGTCATAGCAGGAGTGTTGACTGTCAAACCATTTGACCAAACACAATCCCTTTAAATAATTATACTTTAAATGGATTTAAATTTGTGTGAAGTGTATTACAGTGCATGTCTTTGGAAGTCACGGCCGGGAGTCGATCATAGTGGATTTCATGGATCAAATGACAACAATTTTACAGTTGTTTGATTTGAACTGGATTAGAAAAAATATTGAATCTATATTTTTATTATTACATGTATTATTATGGTAATTGGCATAAAAGATTGTAAAATAAGAAATAATTATTTCCAAATAATACCCCCCCCCCATTTTGAAAGAAGCATGAAAATGCATACTGTGCTATACATCTGTTTTTCCTTAATTTAATTCTATCTTCGTCCAACATATTCAGTTTGATATCTTTTTTTGTTTGCTGTCTATCCTTTATACATGGTATATATGTACCTTTGCAGGACCAGTTGTAGATTTGTTAGTTTTGTGATGATATCTTCTAATTCTGATGAATATTTTTTTTTTCATTTTTGATGAAGAATTAATATTTTAATCTTCTTCT